CGACATTAAGAACAACTATCGAAAAAAAAAACAGAAATACACACAACACAGCCAGTGACAGACGTTAGGCTTCACACACCTGCGCCATCTTGTCCGCCATCTTGTCTTGTCTTTATCTATCGCCTTTCTGGTCTTTATTCCTTCCTTTCTATAGTTTCTTTCCTTCCGTCTCAAAAACCAAACTACCTGCATGGGCCGAGTTCCCAAAATGATCAGAAATTCCAACTAGGCAATAAAGTCATACCAGGGTGTTTTAATTGACCATAGCAATATGACTGCCCTTATGTTCACTGGCCAGATGCTTCCTCTCTAACAACCTGCTCCTTGCCTGGAACAACTATTAGTTAATTACCAGAAAAAAACAAGTTCTTTCTTGTGGTTAGTAATGCCTATGCTTTGCTAAGATTTTGTAATAAACACATTTACATACTTCAAAATATCTAAAGTTTTTTTTTATTACATAATTGAAGATTTAAGTCATACTTAAAAACGTATTTTCCTAATGTTAACCCTAGTGCATCTAACGCCTGTCTGGAAATTGAGTGGTTTTTATAGGTGCTGGAATGTGGTCATACCAGCATATTAGACTGCTAATGCTCAGCATAATGCAACAATACTGACACCTGGTGATTAACTGCTCAAACTACAGGATAATTACAGTTTTAGTTAAAACCGCGTTATGGTCCTGACTAGAATTTATAGCTAATGCTCTATTGATGTGTGTGCCTTTTATCACACTTTTAGAAACGTTTTCTGCCGTTGTTCGTGGTTATTGTTTCACCAGTCCATTTAAACAATAACAATGATCACTCGAGTGAAGGAGCACACGGAGGAGACACCAAAAAATATTATGGACATAGTAAAGACACGGAGATGGTGTGTGAAACAGTTGTACCTTACCGTTGAAGTGGAATGGATGATCGACTAGTGTTTAAAATGGAAACTATTAAGACGTTTTTGAATAATAAATCGTTAACATTTATAAGCAGTGACACACAAAATGACAATGAAATGTTAATTAGTTCAATCTTTTTAATAAATCTAACTTTTAAAGTTACCTTCCAGTGGCTGTGCTTTAAAGTGGACCAAAAAAAAACAAAAAAAAAAACAATTTAGCCCCTCAACTAGTAAACCTGGTGGACTTCTTTGGCTCGGGAGGGCTAATGGGGTGGGACAGCAACAACTTTAAATATTTCGATAAAGACACCGGACCGCTGCTCAGCACAGTCCCACAACATCTGCCTGGATGTGCCTTTGGGTGCTGCAGTTTTCAAGGGTTCACAACACTTAGAGTGTGCTTGACCTTGTGCTCTTTCACTGCAAGGATGTGGTTGCTGTAGCTTGTGGTGTGTGACGAATAACACTGCAGTTCTGTGGCTTTGCCAGAAAGTGGTAAAAATAAAAAAATAAAAAACAAGTGAAGCTGTGCAGCTGGGTGTCAGATTTTGTAATTTGCAAATCTTGCCCTTGGTTGTTTCTTTGGCAGCAGTGCTCCATTTATATTATTTGTATAATATACTTTTATGTATTTGTCTCTTTTCCAACTACTGTAGGGTTATTCTGGACATATTGTATAGCACATTGTTACCAAATAAGGCAGTATACATGCAGTACTTTATGTACCGTTTTTTTTCCCCGGAGTATAAGCCAAAAAATGCATAATGAAAAAGGAAAAACATATCCAAGTCGCTCCAGCCATAGGATTAAAAAAAGTGACATACAGGAGTAGCAGATGCTGGTATACAAGCCTAGAGTGCCCTCTAGCAGCTGTCAGTGGGAAAATAACAAACATGTATGTTTTCAGTGTTAGAGGACTAGCAGATACTGGTACTTGGTTTTTGATATCATAATGAAAATCTGAAAACGAAATTTCGGTTTCGGTTGGTATCGCAATCAGAAATTAAGTGTTTGGACAATATCGGCATATCATTTATCGCCAAAAAGTTAATATCGGACATGCCCCACTGTCACTGCCGAGCAATCGATCAAAATGAAACAAATTGTTCAGTAAGACAAATGATAAAAATCAATAAAAAGCAGAAGAAAGAAATAGATGAATTAAAATTTTCTGCAGTGTTTACGGCGCGTAGCTGAACATAAACTGAACGGCGCTTTTACACTCATGGCAAGTTTTAATTACAAAATAAAACTCCCCTCCTGCTTTTCATTAAACAAAGTGTCACTTGAACTCAGTATCACTATTTCCATGTTTCATTAAACAAATGATCACACACAATGTTGGTTACATCACTCTCGACAAAAAGAAAAAGAAAAAGAAAAAAAAGTGACATGATGAAGTGTAAACATCTCATCTGTTCATTGTGCCATTTAAACGAGAAGAGAAGATACATTAGTGTATTCAGTTGCTAAGGCCCCGTGAGGGTAATTGGGACACAGCGCTGAAGTAGGGAAACATCACAACTGGTTTGGTATTGAGTGGAGTGGAATGGTTCCAGTCAAAGGATGAAAAAAATGTAGAAACTTACACATGTAGCAGATACTGGTACACAGTGAGGCTTACACATGTAGCAGATACTGGTACACAGGACTAGAGTGCCCTCTAGCGGCTGTCAGTGTTAGAATGAAGATGTGAAATTATATATTTTGATATTTAAGTCGCTCCTGAGTATAAGTCGCCAACCCAGCCAAAGGATGAAAAAAAGTAATGGTAATCTAAAACACTGGTTGGTACATGCTTTTAGGTTAGGTCCTATACCGATTCTGGTTCCAAAAGCCAAGGTTTTCACTTAGTCCAAAAATCAGACATTTCCACCTTAATACATAAAACGTATTGTTATCAGTTTTGTCAAAACTGGCTCTGCATTTACTTGGTATTAGAATGATACTACATCACGCAGTACTAAATAGAGGTGAATAGAGTTACTGCACACCACTAATGACCAGATGACGGCTGGTGCAAGTGCTTCACTGGCAACTTTAAGGAATAACAAGGATTTAATGACTGAATGCCACTCTAAACCTCATGGAACATCACAAGTCAATCTTTTTCTGCAGCAACCTCTCAACCGCAAACATCATGGACCATGATGAAGAAAGGGCTCAAATCTGATCCCTGATACAATCCAATCCATCTAATCCATATCCTAACACACCTCACCGATGTCGCTCTTTCCTTGTACACATCCATCGCCTACACCTCACATCTCTTTCTGTAGCTGTAAAGTTTTGTGCTGCTGTTAGCCACTGCTGGAGTCAGATTGCTACAAATAACTAGTGACTCACAAGGGACAATAAACCTGCACATTGCCCACAAAGTGGAGGAGCGAGCCACCGAAGGCTTACAAAACCCAGGCCGGTCAGACCTATTCATGTCAAAATCTCTTTTAATATAGTATTTGCTTTGCATTTGCATTTTAATAGAGTTCCATATACCTGCGAATTCTCTCAATTAAAGAAAAGCTTAAAACCCTGATTACCTAAGTACCCGTTCAATACCTGCAGTTAGTCGTTCGTGTACTTGACAGGATGGTAAGCCACCATGACGGAAGGGGATCCAATCGGTGCACCAGTTTGACCAAAGCCATTTTCTGCTCTATGCAAACTCTAATATAATTTGGCCTGAAATTCACTAGCAAAAAAAAGAAAAAGAAAAAGAAAACATGCAGAACAGCGCAAAGCTCAAAAATGGAAAGGAAACGCAAAAATATACCGTAATTTCCGGATTATAAGCTCCTGCTTTTTTCACACGCTTTGAACCCTGATCCTGCTTTTTTTCACTCGCTTTGAACCCTGCAGCTAATTTATGGATTTTTACGGGCTAACAAACCTCATACCGCTAGAAAAATCGAACAGACAACAGGTGAACAGGTCATTCGCAAGACAATTGCTTCTCCTATCTGGTTGATTCTTGCCTATTTTAGCATTTTTTCCAGCGCTCTCACCACTACTGCTATCATGAGACAGTATCTTCAACCCACAAAAGTTACTCAGGAGGTCAAAAGGTTCTCTATGACTACTAGCATAGTGTCAAGAGCATAGAGGACAAACCAAGGTGACAGATAAGTACACTACAAAAGGTGGAAGGGAGGGGGGGGGGGTCTCAGAAGGACAACAACCCAGCAGGACCACTATCTGCTTCCTTGTGCAAGAAGGAACAGGTGGAGCACTGTCAGAGCCCCTCAGAAAATGACCTCCAACCAGCCTCTCATTTGCACTTTTCCTCCCAAACTGTCAGAAACAGACTGCATGAGCGTGGCATGATGGCCTGACATCAACACATGGGGGGCTCTGCTCACACCCCTGCATTATGCAGCCAGGTTGACATAAGCAAGATAACACCCTGTTCATGTCAAAGATGACAAGGGAGGAGCCAGGCTGACCACATTGGAGCTACTGGCCAACAGGTGCAATACCAGCCTCCAGTCACTAGGTGGCAGTAAGTCATACAGTGGTTCGTACAGATAAAAATATCCATGTTATCAGGTTCTCAATAGTAATTTAGATTTGTGGGGTTGGGGGTCGGATGGGGAGGGGTTGGGAGAGGGGGAGGGGGGCATGACAGAAAATAATTGAAAACCACTGCCCTAATGCAATCAGAGCGATTGATTAAGACAGTGGTGTCAAACATACGGCCCGCAGGCCAAATCCAGACCACTAGGGTGTTAAAGTCGGCCCGTTTGATGAATTTTGAAAATAAAAAAAATATACAAACATATATATATATTTGTGTATGTAACATATATTACAAATAATAAATAGTTAATATACTTGCACTTTTTTGCATGAAAACAAAGGGGATGTTGACAACTATCCGACAACTAATGCGTTTGAGACCCCTACCACAAAATAACAATCGCAAGATGATTGGTTTACAAAAATATTCAATAAACTCCATAAAACAAGACCCTGCCTTTTGTAAAAAAAAAAAAAAAAAAAAGTGGTATTTCTTATAATTCTACAGTCAGAATAAACATTTAGGAGTATTTATCTCAGCTTTTTTTAAAACATTCACTGTGTAAAACCCACACAAAAGACACACATTTGATGAACATTAATTATTTATTCCTTTTGGAAGCATTCCATGAGGACATTATTTACAATACTGAGGTCGCAGGATATTTTCTCTCGTGGGGCTAAATTTTAGCACTTTATCTGGTCTCCGGTCTTCATATAAGAGCTGTTAGGTTAACCCTTGGAGTTGTGTCATTTTTCTCTTTCTTGATTTAATGTTTACTGTTTTTGGATGATCAACGGATGTTAGGTAGAAAAAGACAAAAAAGTGCCGACATCCTCAAAGTAAATTTTATTTTGGTATATGAAGGTGCTACCGTCCATCATCGCCACATTATAAACCTTCACTTTTTTTAAAAGATCCATGAACAATGTTGTTAAATTTACCGAACCTGTTCACATTCAAGGCCCCCTCTGTGTCTCAAACTGGTGTTTATTATGAAATCGATGAGAAGCAGTTAAAACTTAAAAAGTAATTTTAACCTTTTGATCAGAGTGGTGCAACAAAAGTACACGACGTAGCAGCAGCAGCAGCCAAACTGTCTTTTGCAGGAAATTAAGGAGCAACAGTGAGATGGATGTAGTAGATCTGATAGGTGTGCTCAGAGAACGTGGGGTCAGGGGGGAAACGGTCAGTGATGCCATGAGATAATCAGGCTTTATTACTGGAGTCTCTGAAAATGAAAACCATTCAGACATCTGGTCGCTTCGTTTGTTGAGCTCAACTCATCCACCGTACCGTCCCTCTGAATACATCGTTTGGCCTAACTGCCGCTTCACCCCTTCCCTCAATCTTCCAGTGCCAGTGTGTCCAGCTCCTCGTCCAGCTCCTCCAGATCTTCCAGATCTTCACCTGTGAACAGGTTCTCATCCACGGGGACCTCTTCTTCGTCTTCGCCTCCTCCGTCCTTCCCTCCTCCCTCTGCTCCTGGGAGACCGTTGATCTCAGTGCCGCCCCATGCTCCGTTGAGCTGGTTTTCTGTGGTTGGATTAAGGTGTTAAAGTGTTATTTTTTTTAAATCGGGGCTTCCATGTTACTGATGAATGCAGAAGAAAAAAGGCAATAAAAAAAAAGCACAGTTCAAAAGAGAACCTTTGATCGTCTTCGATTTAGAATTTAGCAGGACGGCAGCTATTTTAAAGCTACGCCCAGGCTTTGAATAAGGATTATTAAAAGAACATTTACAGACTTTTTTTTTTTCTGAATAATAGACGGTCCCTGGCTAGCAGGGTAACAAGATTATGGCTGCATAATAAATCGGGTTACTAATTTGAAAATGCGTGCTCTGTTTATTAAGTCTTTTTCTTAATTAGGTCCTCAGACAAAAGGAAGTTTGCTTGAAGAACATAAGTTGAATCAAATCATAAATGTTCAAAAACTGTGATTAGAATTTAAGTCACAAGTTAAATAAAATGTACTGTAAGTTATATTATTTTGAGTACGATGATCAAAATAACGCGCTTTTCACCATCTCCAGATGTTACGTTACACTAACGGACAGAAAGAGTGAGTCGTTTTTCTCTCACCTTTGCTCTCCTCTGATGGCTCGGTCTTGTTCTGAGAGGCGAAACGGTCCGTAGCTGCAACGGTAATTCCTGTGTTGTCAACTTCTTGTGGAACAAAACGAGATAAGTCGATGTCCTGGATCTCTGTGGTATCAACCTGCGAAAAAAAAAAAAATGCTCAGACTATTACGTCTCATTCCAAGTCTGAGTTGCTCAACTATTCACATCAAAACATTCTTGTCTTCGTTCAAGGCTGAGACCATTTGACTGAGGCTAGAAAGTCTGAGTTTCTCAAATATTCAGTTTAAGGCTGAGACCATTTGACTGAGGCTAGTGCACAAAACAGGCTACACTAACACATGTCATAAAGTGACCGCACTCCGAACTCGCAGCACTGACAGAACTGAAGAGGCCTTTCGTGTGAGAGTTGAAACATCCAGCCTCATTCGCCAGTCCGTCACAGTCCCATATATGGAAACAATCAATGCCTCAAACATTTAAAAGTCTCTGTTGTTTTTGAGTGACGTTAGCAAAAGGGAAGCAGCCTTACAGCTCAGTTTGTATTTTTTTTGTGAATAGTCGATTGAGTTTCTGTTCAGACTCCACGAGAAAACACTGTTAAGTCCACCATTACCTCTTCTGCACCATCTTCATCACTTTCATCTTCGTATTTAGTGTCATCAGCTTCAGCATCATCGTCGTCGACCAGCTCTGGACGGAACTCGAACACTTCACGGCCGCTAACCTACGCACACACACACATTCACAGGTGAATTAAAAACCTGTATCGAAGCCGGATCAAAAATGACTTAAACAGGTGGGCAAAAGTCAACGGACTTACTGTAAGCGATTTCCCGGCCTTAAAGTCCGCCTTCTTCTTCTCCAGCTCCTCCCTGGCTTTGTCTATCTGTGTAACAACAGAGGCCAGTCTCACATACCCACTCATATGGAATATTACTGCGACATTAAGACTTAAATCGTGACATCAGAAATTATTTTCCCAACCTTCTCCTGCCTTTTCCTCTTCTTCCAAGCAAGGAAAGTCTCCAGGGTGATCCGGGTCACGTTAACCCCCAGAGCCGAACGCTAGAGGGGGACAAAGAGTAAGCAAGTGAGACCTCCAGAGGAAAACCTCTGCATAGACGGTCAGGGTTTGGGTAACATCAGCAGAGACTGGATCACCTCTGAAGCTAAGGTGAAGTGTGACCGTGCGTCATTATTACTAAACACAAAAAGAAAAGGTTCTATTCATTAAATGGAACTCTAATTCTCACGTCAGACCCGTGGAAGTCATTACAATAACATTAATGAGGATAATAATAGTTAGGCCTGTGAACCAAATGAAACTGTATTCAGATTAATCACAGGGTGGATGTGGATTAATCATGATTAATCAAAGGAAAACTGCCATTCCTTGAAACGATGAAAATCAATTTTGCTCTACGTTGCTGGAACGGAACGACAGATAACACCAGGTGGATGTATGTGTCCCATATGTTTTTCGAATCATTATTGAGGAAAGAAGAAAGAAGTATAACTCAAATACTGCCAGAAATATGGGTTAACTATCACAAATGATTCAACACGAACACCAAGTAAATTTCGGACAGCTCTAACACTAATTGCACATTTTAAGACTCTCAAGGTCAAAAAAATAAAATCGAGGTTTATAGTAGATACTGAGTGGAGAGATGGTAAACGGCCTTGTAAAGGAGTAGCCGAGTCTTGAAAGCGACGCAGAAATTAATGGGAAGCAAGTGGGGTTGGGTTCGTGGTGATGGGAGTCATGTGACTAACTGAGGGTAATCTGATGATGATGATGATAATCTGGTGGAAGTTGAGTTTTAAACGGACTGCAGTTTCTAGTAGTAGTAGTAATCACAAAGTGGCAAATATTCCATGGGACACTTTGTCTGGCAATTAATTGCACGCAATATCATTTTGCACAAACCTATTGTGACACAAGAAAAGTTAAGTTTAAAAAAACTGGGACGAAGTCTTGGGCCAAACTTATATATTTTATACATACATACATATATATATAAATGACAAATACTATATACTAT